TTCAATAATGTTGATAGATTGGTTTGGGTGGAAAATGATCAAACAAACAAAAGGAGAAATTGTGGGCCGACCACTTGTGATTCTTCTATTATTTATTTCCTTCCTCCATTCCACGCAGATAAGTTTATTTTCATTTTCAAACAAATTAAAAAAATGTAATTAATATATTTGAAAATATAAATTTTTTTATATATTTTTTCAATTATATCCCTACGTTTGATAATAAGTCACGTCAAATAGATATATTAAAAAAAATTAAAAAATTAATTATACTATCAATAAAAACATTTCTATAATTTAGGACATACGAAAAAAATTATTTATGAAATGGTGGATGATTGACTTGGCGACAGATGATTGAGTGTTTGCTATTTTTTTTTTTAAACAGTCCAATTATGTGTTGACACATGTGCACCCTATTTTTAGTCTATTTGTGTAGCATAGTTCTTATCATTATGAGGGAAAAGAATCTTTACATGTTGTCATCTACTTTTCTCTCTTCGTAGACTTCACGTCTTCCAGTGGAAAAGGAATGATGTAGGGACATTGACATGGATGTAAAGTGTACATTACATAGTTTGCTTTTATTAGATATAAGAAACTGGTATCGTGTAATAATGTATTTATTTGCTAAATAAATTAAAATTTTATTCGTAGCATTTGTTTAATTATCTATTTTCGTGGTGATCAAGTGTTGAAATTTTGGAATGTATACAAACGTAAATTATTACATAAAAGATAAAAATAAAAAATTATAAACTCCAGATTGAATGAGAGAAAAGTACGAATTTTTGAATGTGTTACATCTTGTTTTGTTTGAATATTCTTCCCATTTCATTGTCCAAACTCCAAAGGAAACAAAAGGGGCAGAAGGGATTCGAAAAGGAAAAAGTGAAAGCTTCCTTTTTTTTTTTTTCTTTTTTTTTTTTTTATGAAAACATATTCATATCGAATAAATTTAAAGGAGTCTTTCTTAAAAATAAAAAATAAAAAATACAACTTTCTTTTGCGTTTTGCTGAAATTTAAATAACTTTAGATTACTGTCATTTTAATGCAGTTGAATTTTATTACTAACTGTATAGAGAATCAGAGAATGATTTTTTCTTCTATTTTCTCAATGATTCTTTCTTCTATTTTCTCTCATTTTTACGTGTAATTATCAATCCATCTAAAAACTTAAACTAGAAATAGACACATTTGAATTTAGCCATTATTTGATCCCTAATATTATCAAAATATATTTCTCTCTCTCTCTCTCTCTTTTTAACTACATATTTTTCAATAAAATAATATTGCACGCAAATTCAAAAATATTTCTTATATTTTAATCACACAATTATAATCAATCAATTATTCTAAAATGCATTCTCAAAAGAGGATGAGGGCTCAAACATGTCCTTAATGTTGAGCATACTCTTTCAAGCGCGTCCCGTATTTATCATTTTATCAAATGTGACAAGTTTATGATTATCATAAATCGATAACAATAAACCTTAACTAAAGATTGAGTTAATTTAATCAACGGTCACTGAATTTTACTATAGTTACTACACCAATATTTAAAAAGTTACTCTTTGTTTACTAAATTTTGTTATAGGTTATTATTTACTCACCAAAATTTAAATTATTACTCGCTGCTCATTCAAATTTGAACAAAGTTATCCACCAATCACTCATATTATTTCCATCAGTATTATCTAAAGTAAAGTTTAGTGAGCAACGAGTAACTTTGTTCAAATTTAGGTGAGCAACGAGTAATATTTTCAATTTCAATGAGCAAGTAGCAACTTATAGGAAACTTATGTGACCATTGATTAAATTATCTTACTAAAAGTATCTACCCCATCCAATACTATATAAAACTACTTTTATAACCTTCATAAATTGTAAACACGCACAAATTTGGCCCCTTTTTTTGGCCCCATTTTTAAGAAAGAATTTTTTGGAATTTTTTTTAGAGATTATACAATTAAAAAGTAGGATAAATTTTATGTTTACATGTAAAATTATTTTATTAAGAGAACGTCTAATTGAAAATGAGTTTTTTAAAAATTGCATTTTAGAAAATAAAGCACAAACACCACTCATTATTTCTTTGAACCTAAAACTTCAACAATGCAGCAAATTAACTATAGACTAAAATTCATATATATCTTGGGATTATTTTTAGGCCTCACCATCTTTATCCACAACATCTTTATCCACTTAAGATGATCAGTGCCAAACGTAGAATAAAGTTAAAAACCCCCCTTAAAGAGAGGGAAAAAAAATAAGACTACAGAAACAAATTGGACTATGTGCCACCACCAGAATTAACAGCAAATAGCTCATTCACACTTGGAAGCCACCTATATATACACATATACCTACAGAAACCGGATTACTACTGAGTACAGGCATATAAAAATCTGGGGTTTATCAGAAATCTTGAAGTAGAAGTGGGATTTAATTTGAAGAGAAAAATGTTGGAAGGAAAAGCTTTGATAGAAGATACTGATATGCCATTGAAGATGCAGATTCAAGCTATGGCTTCTGCTTCTCAAGCTCTGGATCTCTATGATGTTATGGACTGCAAATCCATTGCTGCCCACATCAAGAAAGTGAGAAATTAATACTTCTTTCTTTTACATGTCTATCGTTTTAGATATTAAAATATTTCCGTTGAACTTTTTTTATAGTCGATTCCAAGTCAGGGTAAAGGAAACATAAAGCATGAAATTTTGTCAATTCGACATCACTCATACTCCATAATTCTTGAAATTAGAGCTTGTTTTGTTATATTTAAAGAAAGTGAAATATACTTCTTTCATTTTTCATGTCTATATGTCTATTTTTATAGATTTAAATATAAAAATAAAAAAAAATCTTTTATGATTTTTTATAGTCGATTCCAAGTCATGGTAAAGGTTGAGAATCGTAACGTAAGAGCGTGAAACTTTATCAATTCGACATGACTCATACTCCATAATTACTAGGAATAGAGCTTATTTTATTATGTTTAATGTCTATTGTTAAATATATGTATAAAGTTTTATAATATTTTCGTGGTGCACAATATTTTCTTTTAAAGTTATGCGTGACACCGATTTGTTTTCGTGTTTCTATGACGATTTTATTGAGTCAAGTGAAAAGTTCAAGATTTTTTTAACTCAAAGTTGTTATTTTAATATGTTGGCAGGAGTTTGATAAGAGATATGGGAATGGATGGCAATGCGTGGTTGGATCAAACTTTGGATGTTTTTTCACACATACTAAAGGGACTTTCATATATTTCACGTTGGAGACACTAAACTTTCTCATCTTCAAAGGTGCTACTTCTCCTTGATGTATTATAATTGCACGTCTATGGATTGGACAGTACTGAATGGTAAAATGAATAATTGTCTATTATACTGTCCAGTCTTGTTTAATAGAGACGTGATTAACCATCTTAAATGGTTTGAAGAGGTTGAAGGGAGTGCAATGAAATGATTTAGAGGAAGTTTTTCTAATGCCTTTTCTGTAATGGGGTTGTATAAATACTATATACTGCATATGTTTATCTTTTTATAAATAAATAAATTGCAGTCTAATAGTTTTTAAAACAATATTTCTTTGATTATAGATTTTAAGGGTATCTTCACGTAATAAGAAATCAAGAATAAATTCAAGCCAAAAATCATATGGGATTATGACAAAGGACCACGTTACACAAACATAATGGTTGTCATGCGAGATAATCGAACACTCACACCTCGAGAGTCGGACATTATTTTATTCACACGGGGTCCACGTTCTGTGTAAGGATCGATCACCTATTCGATCACCAAATTTCGGACACTTAAAGACATTTTTCTTATTACAAATTAATTGGTTCATATTTATCTTTCCTTGGTATCGTTGTTTACCTTTATTAGCTGCAGTTTTTTACCATTTTCGATACCGGATTCCGTGTACCATATAATGTTTAATGAATAAAATAACGCTTGTCACCGTCACCTTTCTATAAAAAATTTCGATAGGCATTATGAAGATATGTATAATAAATCTAACTTTATTGAAAATAACGTTATGTTACAGTGATTATGTGCAATAAAAGTGACCGATGTGCAATAAAAGTGACCGTCTCACAACTTATTGCTTGTTTGGTTTTAATATTCGATTATAAAAGTTTAAGAGATAAATTTTCACATTTAGATATTGAAATATAGATTATAACTATTTCTCTTAATAAAATTGACTTTTTAAAAATAGAATCTAGGTCTTAATATAAAATATCGATCTATAACTTTAAATTAAGTTAATTTATACGAAATGGTTTAGTATGTTATTATAATAGAGCATATAAACAAATTTTTTGACTTTATATCTTGGCCGATTCATTGGAATCTTCACTTTTTATTGGAATTCTTAAAAAAAAAAAAAAAAAAAAGTTATTCTTGTTCATTTTTCTTATCCCTTAAGTGGTTTTCATTAGATGACGAGTTTATGTTGAATATGTGTGCTTGTATCACGTTTCCAAAGTCGCTATAGCCAATTTACTGAGGGCATTTTTAACTAAAAAGGCACTACACGTACAGGCCAAAAAATTACAAGGCCTTTACCGACACACAAGCAGGAGTGGGGTGGGTATTTTTGGGGTAATTTTTTAATAAGGTTGGTCTGTCCACATGTGAGTAATCTATATGTTTTCTGTGAAATATGGCTCTGTACGTATATCTTTAATCTTTTAACTATTATATAAGCTAAGCCAAACACCCTGCTCAAATAATTACACAATCGACAATTTGGCAATAATTAACAGGCAAAAATGACACACCAAACCCAATCAAAAGGGCAAATAATTGAAGATTCCAACTTCCGAGGGAATTAGATTTTGCCACGAGGCCCAGGCTTGGGTGGAAGTTGTGGGCCCTTGACAATTGGTAAAATGTCCGCTGTTGCGGTGGAGCTAAAGTAAGCAAGGGCGGAGCCACCTCCCAATATCAAGAACCTGAGAAGTAGACCTCTCTTGGTGAGTGGAGCTGCAAATATCTCGAAGAATTTGCTCTGCAATAGTAAATCGATACATTAAGCCCTTGTTTGGGCTCCATTTTTTCAAATTATAATGAAATGAATAATAATTTGTTAAAAAATGTGTGGTTAAAAAGAAAGAAGAACTTCTTATGTTTTGTAACATTATTTTATTGAAAAACACGTGATTGATAAGATGAGAGAAAAAATGAATTTTAATTTAATGGAGGTTAAGGGCTAATAAAAATTGGTTCTTGAGCACATGAAGTTTTGTCCCAAGACACTAATGACATGTTTATCATATTGAATTGTGTGAAAGTCTTTTTAGAAAATTATCTAAACATGTTCAAAAATAACTCCTTAATTTTAAAAGCAACTTTTGAATTTTCAAAAACTCTGTCAAACGAGTCCCAAGTTTTGATCACAAATAACCTACCATATGAAACACGCAAGCAATCTCACTTAGACTCGTTCAAATCAATGTGGGAGTTAGGTCTCTTATCATTTCACATTTTCAATATGAAGAAACAAGATAGTACGTTTCTTGCTAGGCGTTTGGCAGAAAAGTGGCGCCAAAAAATTATTAGACTCCTATTTGAGCCCTATTTTTGGGCTAAAATGCATTTTTAAATTGTATTTTGTTGGAGTATGTTTAAGGGAAAAAAAAAAGAGTTTGTATGTAAAATTATTTTATGAAAAAATGTGTTGTTGAAAATGAGTTTTTAAAAAAATGGAGGCCAAACATAATTGGTGGAATAAAACAATATAATTAAGCTTCACGCACTTAAACAATCACTTGTAATATTGTTAAGTAATGCTATTTAACAACATTGTCATTTAATTTCACATTCTATTTAACCTATCATTTAACGTCGGGATTACAACTCTAGTGAAACTACATAGCATTATAGAATATTTCTAATCCTGCATTATCTTCTAGAACTCTATACACCAAGTCACCAACTGAAATTTGGGAGGAGCAGAGAATTATATACCTGGAGAGGGTTGTATGGTGAAGGTGCATCAGATCCGTACAACTCCCATTGGCCAGTGGTGTTGCCCAAATCCTCTAGATCAAAGTACACACTCTTGTCTCCATATTTTGCCACCACTGCTCCAGCCCTACATAGTAATAAAACAAATCAAGAAATACCCAACTTCACAAGACACTTCCCACCAAGACGTTTGACACAGAAGAATTGGATTTTAAACTCAAAAAAGATTAATTTGATCTTAATGCGTGAACGATACACTTGTTGTACGGGATTTCAATATCATTGAAAAAAAAGGAGGCTAAGGTTTTTATTTAAGATAAAACGACACCTTAAAATTTTTTATACCATAAGAATATAGTGTAAAATATGATTACTCTTCGCTCTGTTCAAAAGCAATAAGTTAAACATTGTTCCTGATAAATTTGGAATAACCTACTTAAATCCTTTTCCACTGCTCAGTTTAGTTAAAATAAAAATATAGCAAGCGGCAAAAGGGGAAAATGTTACCTGTAGTTTGTGGGCTTGAAGCTTAGGCAAGATGGCTTGACATTGAGCTTAATTCCAGCAAGTGAACTCCCATCAAGGCCCTTAACAGTGGTGGGCTGCACTGCAGTGCAACGGATGCCATTGAAATTGTGTGTCTAAGACCCCTTGATTCTCTGTGGATGTGTTCTGGCTTTAGATCCTTTTGCAATGGATCTCGGCCAGCCACGTGGCATACTGACTTTGTTTGGAGAGATTATGAAATCCCATTAAACAGGTGCCACATTGGTTACAGTTGGATAATGCTAGCCCTTTGAGATCATTGGTCAGTTCTTTGTCACAAGCCCTCAATTTTTATTTTCGCCAAAAACACGATGTAAATAGAGTTTGATTCCTCTTTGCAAATGAAGATCTTTTTAAATCAAAACTTCATTTAAGCAATATACCTCTCATGTATTCCATCTGGCACGTGCAATTTTTTTTAAATAGATCACGAAGATACTTGAATTTCTTGAATTTAAAATGACTGATATGACATTAAAGTACTTCATTGAAATGCTAAAACTGATTTATATTTAAAATTTTGACTTCATGCTGTATGAAAGTGAGATTGACAAACAAGAACAACTTTGCTTGTGGTGTCTAAGAAAACACACAAAGGAAAAAACACAAGAAGAATAGTATTTCATAGATGGTGGGAATATGGACCGTAATGGGCAAGACTACTAAGAAGGGTCCATGATCAGAAATATCACACAAAGTGTTCTATGAATAATTTGGAGCTGAGCCATACTTATTGGATCATTGGACACGGCAATTTGTAAACCAAAATTTCTAAACAAGATATAGTCTCAGAGCCAATGCTTTTGAAGATTTTAAGAAGTATTTATTTCACCAGTCTAGATCAAGATTCAAACTCTTGAACTTCCAGAACCATGGGATGTGGACCATTTAGCTTTTATGTTTCCATTAACAATTATCCTGTTTAGAAAATCCTGGAACTTCACGAGTACTAGCTTTTCCTTCTCAACGTATGTATCTGCATTGCAGTCATGACCCTCTTTCTTATCACCTGTCAAGGCAATAGGTCCCGGAGAATCAAAGTAAAATGGAAACAAATTCATAAGTTGACGGATAATTTTTCTCTCTTTGTATTAGACTCTACCAGAAAGGATGTTAACAGATGCAGATGCACCCAGCAATATCAAGCATACATCCATCAAGTCGATGTCTGCTATCATGGATCTTCAAGCATGAATGGATAAAGCTGATTAGCTTGTGAAGAACCAAATATGCAAGCTTTCAATCAACTCTAAATAAAATTAATGAGATGCTGAGAGGTTTAACAAAAACCTGTTTTTGAACTTTGAGAAGCTCAATGATGGTGTACAAATCTGCCAAGAAAGGAAGACATGAAAGGGGAAGAGAAAAAAGAACAGAAACTCTCTAAACAACATGTGAAACATGGACTTGCATTCATATATAGTAAAAAAAAAAAAAATTGAGCCTAGTTAAGCTTTGATGGAATTGACGAGCCAAATCCCTTTACTATAGGTCAACTTAACGCTGATGAAGATAAGTATACCCTCTGATTTAATGTCAAGATATGTGTAAATCCTGTTGAACCATCTCATTTAAAAGATTCAGCTGTTTGAATATGGAGATATTTATTTATTTAAACTTTTCCTTAACACCCTCTCACCAGCAGGCTAGATTCAATTTTTCATCAATACCCTGACACTCAAAGTCTTCATAAATGGTGTTGCCACCTCATTTAAAAGTAAGTTTTAGAAAGGGGACACATTTATTTATTTACATTTTTTCTTAAACAAAGCCAACTATAACAATGGAACAGCCAAGACAACATTTTTGGTCAGATGCTGAGAATATAGTACCTGCACCTGCTTGTAATGTTGAACACTGCGGTTGAATGGAATCCCCCTATTTGAACTAGGCAAGTTAACTGGAGTCTTCCTCTTCTTGGATTCAAGAGAGGATCTGCAGACATGATCATGACTGCATCTATCTGCTTTGTGGAAGAACTGGGCATTCTTCGAATGAGAAAAAAGTCTACCTTTCTTTGCTATTTTTACAGTTCTTGCAGTCAAAGCATTTGCAGATTTCTGAGCAGAGGGTATTAGCACGATAGCACTCACAATACCCCTTAAGGCACTCTGATCTATTGCAGTGACAACCTTTTTCAATCTTCTCCATAATCAGAGAACATCTTGCCTCTCCCTGAAAATTTTTCAGAGAAGCCAACTGCCTTTAAATGAATGCAAAAGAATAACTGAACACTGATCAATAACAGGTCTTTTGCATGAAGATGAGGAAAGACATCCAATCCAAAACCCCCGTTTAATATTCTCAAGTTTCACAATCTTTACTGGCCATGAGTTTGAGTAGCACATGGACAATTAGGATCATACAGATCTCATGAATTCATTAATAGTTATCACCTTTGTTATATAGAGCAGAAGTAGGAGCAATAAAGATTTCACAAAACAAAATCACACATAAATAAAAAAATTTCCTTGGATTTTACAGGTTTCATTCTACACAAAATATCAATTCAACTGACATACCTTCAGTCAACTACACAGCGGTTGTATTTAGGGCCACAAAAATGAAGCATATAAAAATAAGTGTTTGTTGGTTCAAAAAATAAGGAAAGAGTCATGTGCTCATGTCAACCTTTTAAATAATTTGAAATCCTATTACCAGTTAAATTCTTTATTATTCAAAAAATTTTAAGGGGCCAAACACGGACTTTCAATTTCTTATTCAACTTCCTACATATTTTCCTCACGTGTAATCAGCACAACTGTAAATTTGGAACAAAGTAAATGTGTTCAAACTAAAAATATAAGTTTCCCCGTGATCAATCCATATTCACATGGAAAACATTTCAATAACCTACTGAAATGATATTACTAACTACTCAGAAACTTCACAGCTAGATACATTACCTTATTGGGACTGGTCACAATCTTTGGCCTGAATACCTTTGGATAATGTTCTAAGATATACACAGCAGCAGCATGTCTTACAGTCTCATTTTCTATATTATTTTGACAATTGGAACAGCTGCACCCGTTGCAATATGTTCCAGTGGCAAAACATTGGCAGTACCTTACCATTTTCCCGAGTTAATTGTGGTTAAAAGTTGTCAGCAATTTAAAGCATGTTTGGGTAAGTTTAAAAATAAGCAACTTTTCTTTTAAGTAGAAAAGTAAGTTTAATTCTTTAAGCAGACATGTAACTACCTACTTGGTGAGCACATAGTGAGGAAAAAATGGACATTCTTACCTAAGACATGTGATGAAGAGCACTAAATGCAAGAACTGAGAAAATATACAATGTATTTCTCTAACATTAAAGATCCAATTTCTATGGTTATTAATCAAACTCATGTTAGGGGAAAGCCATACTTGTACACAACTCCTCAAGTGCAATATTTACTAAAACCAAAATTCTTCATGTCTTTCAATTAGGCTATTGTTATCTGCAGAGTTAAGACATCTATAGTGTTAGAAAAGAAGTAGAATATCCAGAGCAATGGTAGCCAAATTAAATCAGCTATTGCCTCCACCAATCCACCCCCCTCTCCGATCCTATAAACAAAAAAGCAGAGAGAGGAAGAGGAATTTCCTTTTCCAAAAGAAACTCCTGGATCAATTGACAAAAGTCAAGATCTGTCTCTCTAGCATGGATGAAAGTAAAGATGAGTTTTTCACCGTAAGAATTGTCAGAGTTGGAGAATGCTCTAACCAGTCTGTTTGATGATGTAATTGGTAATTACAGGTCTCAGAAAAAAAGGCAAATAATGAACTTGATCTATAATGAAGTTGTGGACGTGTCAAACTTTGTGGAAGATATATCATTAAGCAAGGCAGCTTACAGCTTTAGACATCTAGACTTTTTGCATTTGCAATGTTTCTGTTCCTTGAGAATCTTTTCTTTGAATTCAGTATCACTCAATTGTGTGCCTGGAGAGCTACAATTATTTTGATCAGAAAGAGAGAAGATCAAGATGTCATCGCCTACAGACTAATAAATAACTCAGCAAAAGTATAATCCGAAAAATTTATGCATCCACATATTTTTCAATATTTAACAACTGGACCAGAACGCGAGTTCGAGATTCATCGTTTTTATCTTCAATTTTTACAAAAGCCTAATACCAGATAATAAAGAATAAGCATCAGTATATTAAATTTCTTATATTTTTCTAAACAAGATCCACTATCATAACATGAGGATTTTAAACTTCCACTCTTTAACGGCATAATTTAAAATCTCTTATATTAAAAACTTACACAATCCGGAGAGATGGCGAATGTGGAGACTCTATCTCTAGCTTTGGAGATTTCAATTGCTCCGGCGGCGGCAATGCAGAGTAATCAGCCGAGAATGAGCCGTTTAAATATAACAGCTGCCTAGCCAGCTCTTCCATCGGGAAATCAGATTCCTCTGCTACTGTCTTCATTGCGATTTTCAGATCCTACTTTATTTTGGCGGGAAAACGACGTTTTTCTAGTTCTATCGTAACTATGTAGCGACACAATTTAAGAAGGATTAACCATCAAGAAAAAATAATTGTTGATTAAAACAGCATTATGATAAATCACAGATAGGTATCGATTAAATGAAAATTGAATCAGCGGCAAATTCACCGGAAAGAATGGTGGAAGAAAGAAGCAGCATTTCGCATGCGAAAATCCCGACTAAGATGATGGCGATGAAAATGAAAATTCTTTGTTGGGGGATTGTTGGAAAAAATTGAGTCAGCGACTCACTTTTGGCGGAGCCGTTGGTCCAACGTGGAATATTAAAGTTGATACGTGTTTCGTCCGTAACAACATCCATTTTATGTATTTATTTGTCAAAAGTGAAGCTCGGGTGAATAAGAAATTGAAGCTCAAAGTTGGTCATTGGAAATTGATTTTGTGAGAAAAAATGCATTTATCCACGTAGAAAAATCAAGGAAACTTAAACCACTTTATATATGGCTATATTTTGGAGATGTGTAATCATGTGTAACATAGAGGCTCTCTTCGCGCGCGCGCGTAGGGAGGTGCAAATCACGAACCGAAATGACATTCGGACCTTAAACTTGGGTGCGCACACGAATGTCAAACCTAACACGGCAAAAATGGTCCCATTGGTGAGCCCACATTATGCCAATTTTTTTTTTTTTTTGCTTTCTCCAATGATTTTTGAGTTTCTAAACTGAAAAAACTCCAATAAACTCCCAATGGCCACAGTGTTAATGGGAAGTAACTCTAATGGACTCCCAATGATCACAATATTAATGGGCAGTATGCCTATAAAAAAGCTCATTCTCCAACAATCTAACATACTCGAAAATCTCACCTACATTCCTGCATACGAAGTTTCTTCTTTTCTGCATTCCTTGTCCAATAAGATCTTGTTTTTGTGGTGATATTGTTCAGATACTAGATCAGTTCGCCGGAGTAGAACCGCGGTGCTCGAATTCTGCTTATTACCGTTGTATCCTGGGAGACAGCCACTCGAACTGAACCTCCAGTACCTACGGCGGGGAGGCGAAACTGTCTTAAGGAAACTGTGCACGCACAGACCTCGGTTTGAAATCTGCTGCAGTTTGTATTTTCTTTCTACATATTATTTTCGCATTACTATTTAATTCATGCAGTTTGTAGTTCCATAGTGTGCAGCTTCCAGATTCATCGTTTACAGTTTTAGCCTGCAGTTAACTTATATTTATGATTTTGTTTGGCTAAACATTTTTTTTCAGCCGTTGGAAGGAAAACAAGTCGTTAGTAGATAAAACCAATTGTATAAGTTTTATTCAATTGCAATAGCCGACTATTGAAATTAATAACCACAAGGCAAAAGATTTCATTTTATCAAAAAAATTCCGAAAGTTTTCCTACAAAAATGACTCAATTTTCAGGTAGGTTGGTATTAAAAAGGGAAAGGAAAATATTGCTTTCTGGAATTGAAAGTCCGGGGGTTTCTGAATTGGATTCCTTCAATTCGTTAAGTATGGTCACTAGACTTTAATTAAATTTAAATATAAATTTCATCGTTTCTTTAGCTGTCTCCTAAAATTGATAAAAAAATTTAAGTGAGCATCACACTATGATGAATCTTTCAAGTAATTATTGTATGAAATGTAAGTAGTGCGTTTGATTGCAAGTATGAAATTTGTATGGAAAGAAAATAAATTTTAAAAATTATTTGCATGGAAATTTTCAATTAAATGTATTTGATTAATTTAATTTTTAACCTAGAAAATATTATATTTGTCTATTTTTTATTGATGAGTAGATGAGAGAGAGAAAACGAATTCCTTAAAAAATAAAATCATACTCTCTCTAAATAAAATATTTTTCTTGATTTCAAAAAAAATATGATCACGTGACCAAAAGTAAGAAAATATTTTTTATGGAAAAAAGTGGCTATCGAACAGCAATCGAACGCACAATTAATAAAATTGTCGAAATTGATAAACAAGTTATTTTTGGATGCTAATGGGTGACGAATTGTCTCTTAATGATGAAGTTTGATTCATTATTCATGAAAATTTTCATTTTCAGCTGTCTTGTTGCTTGGGGCTTTGCATAAAAAAAAAAAAAAAAAAGGATTCGTTTGGCATGCTTTTTGTTTTTGTTTATATTTTTGCTTTTTGTAGAAAAGATTTTGGCGGAAGTTATTTTAGTTTTTTTTTCCTAAAAGCTTTATATTTTGGATGTGCTTTTGAGGAAATCATATTAGACCAATTTTTTTTCAAAAATCTATTTCATGAAATTAGTCAAATGATTGAACCTCAAAAATTTCATTTTGACCTATGAAAAGTAAAGCCAGACAGATCCTTAGTCACGTGGAATGACTGCCAACCATGGAATGTTTGTCTTTTTTTTTTTTTTGGATGTTGATAGTGCTGAATCACGATGAAGCGGTGAAATTTCAAACTAGAGTTTAATAATTCAATCAAGATAATTTGGGGTACAGATTTATTCTTCACGGAATATTTACAAGTCACTAACAAATGCGTGGATCTCACCTGAATAAATAATGGCAAAAAATTAATCCACCGTCCCATGTGAGATGTTGATAGGGGTTCACAATCTCTACCTTTATACCAAGCAGCCCTCTAATTTGGAAGTACCGTGAAACCGAGGAAACTTACATGCATCTGGTGAAATTAGTTAAAAGAACATTGCTAGCAAGAGGCAACCCAAGTACCAAGTCCCGATTTGTTATCTCTTTTCTCTCATTCTTTCCTATTATTTTTCCTACAATACTCGTTTTCAACCACACATTTTTTATTAAAATAACATTATACGTAAATAAAAAAAAAATTTCTTTCTTTTTTAACCACACATTTCAACATCAATCACTATTCCATAATACATTCTTCCCAAATAATGGGTGACAAACACACCCTAAATTAAAACTACATCTCTATGGAATCAAGGGAATAATAATGTTATTTAACAATGATTAATATCGATTTAGATGATAGTTATTTGTCTAATGAATTTAAAATGTATGTTAGCCTCATTCTTGTTAAAAAAAAAAAAAGAAAAAAAAAAGCATTTTGAATAATGTATTGATTGAAAATGTTTGGTTAAAAAATAAAGAAAATGTATGAATTTATGTGTAATATTATTTTATTGAATAATGTGTTGTTAAAGTAAATTAAATTACTGTTGAAAAATATATTTTGATATTTTAAAAAAAAAAAAAAACTCAAACAAAGCTAAGCATTGTGATAGATAACTTAGAGAAATGCTAGGAACTTTATCGGACTTGATAAACATTAATGAATAAATACATGGGTTAATTATGTTCTGGTCACGTGCGTTGACCCAATTAATTCTATTTGTGGTCATTGCATTTTGACCAAATTTCAGTTGAGTTATTATAATTCAATTTGTGTACTTGAATTTTATGTTAAGAGTAATTATATCCCCCCACAATGTTTTTTTATAACTGCATCACGTTTTATTTACAATGAATTTTTTTAATATTTGCTCACTATGTCCTTAACTTTTTTCGCATTTGATTGTTACTCTTAACTTCAATTAATTAAAATATTTTGTCTTTAATCGCGATTTTCATCCAAATATTTTGCTAACTTGCATTGAAAAGATAGACAAATATTTTTGCTTAACTTTTAAATTTTTGCTTAACTTTTATATTAGTTATTTATTTCGATTATTTAAAAATGCGATACAAAAAATATTTCTTTCTGGCTCTCATATCAAATATTTTGGATGAAAATCATCTTTATATGCCAGATATAAAAATTAATAGAAGGTTGATGATATTTTTTTTTAAGTCGAGAACACAAGCGTAAAAATAAGAAAATTTACGATATGCACTGTAATAAAAATGTAGTGTAGTTAACAAAAATTATGGTTTGAATATATATACCCTCGAGTTAATTGAGTTATTAAACTTTAATTTCACCTCAAGGCAAGTCACTCTGCTGGATTTCGTCATGTTGTACAATATCAGACGTTGACATGACCCTTAAATGTTGTAGGTGGTTGTCAAAAAAATATTTTGAAGAAGTGTTTCACGCCTCATCAATTCAACCTCGTCATAATAACCACTACTTTGTTGATCACTAGTCTCCCTAATTTTTCGTTCTCGTTCAATTTCAACAATATATGTACAACTTGATTTAGTAATGGTTGAATACACCAAAGCTATTAGGTGAATATATATCAAATATTGACATCACGATTTTGCATATGTCATTGTATTTTAATTACAGTAAAGGTCCCTAACTTTTACTCCTCATTATATTTATGTTTTCGACTTTTTTCATTGCAATCTTATCCCCAAATTTGATTGATTATCACACGTCCCCAATGACATTTTTCATCCAAAAAAATTGATAAATATTTATTTTTATTTCGAAGTTTGTTAATAGAATTTTTACCAAAATTGTCTCGAGGGACAACGTGATTAAATAGTGTCGGTGGGTGATTTGCACAATACCCTCCAAACGTTTGCCTGTGTTTGTGGAATACTCCATAACCTTTGATTTTGGTGCAAAATCCCCATAAATCACTCAGATGATGTGGGATACTTCCCTCCCGTTTGTATTCATTGATTTAGGTGTTAAAAACAATAAAAATTATAAAAATGCTTCTTGTATACTAGAGTGTACACCCCTCTCACATGAGAGGGGACCCACATTGATTAAAAAATTCGTGAGTCCTTTCGCATGTGAGGGAAATGTGCACTAGAGTATAAAACTGTAGTGTACATGTAGTATCCTTCTAAAAATTATTAAAATAATAAAACCTCAAAAGAATGTTTTAGTTTTTTCAAATTCAAACACTCATTCCTTATTTATTTGAGAAACTAATTGAGAGAGAAAACAAAAGTCCATTTGAATAGAAAAATCCCCATAATTCAACCAAAATGGATAAATCTTATAATATAAGGCCTGTTTGGGAGTGATTTTTTTCTCAAAAAATTAATTTTTTGATTGTTATTTCACTATTCTGACCATCATATTTGACTTCTTCTCTCACAGGTGGCTCCTAACGATCAAAAAATCAATTCTCAAAATCACTCACAAATAGGCTCTATATAACTAGGTAGTGAACGGTGAAAATTATCTCGTGGTTTTGACATGATATGGGTAGTGAATGATGGAATTATTTTGTGATTTTGTTGTGAAGTGGGTAGTGAATGGTGGAAAATTATAAGATGGTGTGTAGTACTTTTCCTATGTTGTGAAAAATAATTATTGATTTTGATCTTTTTGGTCGATTATTGGGTTTTATACACACACTCATTTGTTGATTTATCTCTCAGTGCGTGTTTCAAACAAACGAGCCTTAAGCAAGTGTTCAAATTTGAAGCGATTGAAATAATCTTTGAATTATCATTGATTTTGATCGTTTTTAAAACGTAAACTAATGGATGTAGGTGACGACGCATATTTTGCAACACTTGGATGATTATTTATTTAACTTTTGGATGGGTGGGGGATTTTACATCAAAATGAAATGTCAGCCAGGATTCCACAAAATAAGTTAACATTAGGGATATTGTGCCAAGAATAATACTACTTTGATAGAAAAATACGGCCAAATGCAATGACAAAGATGTTGTGACGGGAGTTGATTGGATGGGATAGCTAACTGTTTAAAATAGTCTAATGATGAAATATCATGTGACATTATGTTAACCATTATATCAAAGTTTCTATTTCTGTGTTGTGCCATTTATCATTCATTAATGAAAGACTAGAACTAAGAATGTAACGATAAAAAGTTATGACATGTATGTTATAACGAATTAACGCTACAAACCATTTATAGAATTAAAATGTAGGGCAATTAAAAAAATGAACATAATTGTCGATATCAAAGTGTCCTAAAATTATAAAGTGTCTGTTTGGTAGAGATTTTAATTTATATGAAATTAATAATTAATTTTAGTCATATATTTTTTGAATTTATAATTTTTTAATTACATATTTCATCAATTTTTATCAAAAATTATTTAATATTTGATTTTAATTCCCTTCAAACAGGGAAAAAGTATAGATGTAATTTATTTACATTTTCTTATTTTCCGAAAGGTAACTTTATGCGGAAACTCTACCGCCGTTTTCTTCAACGGTTAAAATGAATAATTTATTTATTTATTTTTATTAGGAGTAAAAATGGTGGATAAAGTTGAAAGTAAACACGAATCACGTGTGCAGGAAATTGAAACAAACAAATGAAACGGCGTCGTACACATCCTTTCCATTACGAATAAATTTTTAAAGCTTGCCCGGTGCATAGGGAAATTCACATCGGACCTGTCCAAATGGGAGAACGGCTAAACTCCATATAGGATCAGATTGATCTCTTGTAAGTTTTTGGTCTCCTGACCAACAATCTCATTCCGTTCGATCGGAGCTCCGATTTGATCTTTCCTAATTACGATTCGCTTTCACAAATCCCCAGGTTCTATTTTCAGAATCACGTACGAGTCGCATTAGCATCATTTCCAATTGCAACAAAATATGACACGGTTGATTTCGTTTTTAGACGATGCATACTCGATTTCTATAGTGGTTGGATCTTACTGATGGTGTTCTATTTCATTTTTATTGATAATTTAGCTGAATATGTGATCTGTTATGATGTGGGAATGCTGATGGATTTTTGCGAATGTTGCGTTTTGTAGGTTTTGGATAAATGCGAGTGACGTGATATACAAGTACTGCATCGAGCTGATTGATTAAAAAATATGGCTTGGTTTAGTGGGAAAGTCTCTTTAGGGAATTTCCCTGATCTTGCTGGGGCTGTGAATAAACTCAGCGAGAGCGTCAAGAATATTGAGAAGAATTTTGATACGGCACTTGGTCTAGAAGAGAAATCCGAACCTACCAGTAGTACAGATGAAGGTAAATGTTATGTTCACTGCATTTCGATTTTTTTTGTGAATTTTCAACCATTATAATAAGCGTTTTTTGTGTATATTCCTTCTGATCCATAAGCGGGATGGAATTAGAAATCCAATACCTTTAAAACTTGGAAATTATCAGACCATTGAAATTTGCTGCTAGTTCATATTAAGGATGTTTTATATAGTTCATCTTATTCTATTTTTACCAAAGATATTGTTCGAGGTTTAAAGTGCTCCCTTTTGTGGATTTGAACCTCCTTTATTACATGATTAACTAGCTGATTTACAAAATTTTATTCCAAGGAAATGTATATATAAAATTTCTCACTTGGTCAAAAACTACCAGTGTAAAGGATGTTAAAGTAATTGATGCATGAAGGTTAATAAGATGTTCATAGATTATGGTCTACTTCCAAATGTTAATGTTAGGATTGTGGCCATCAGCTACAGACAGGAAAGCACTGTTCGAGCCAATCATGGGTTTTATGGGGAATAAAGGCGGGAACAGTATTGTTGAATCATTGGCAGAGTCTAGTTCCTCCAAGCCTGCATCTCCTCTTAAGGAAGAAGAATCTAGTTCCTCAAAGCCTGCATCTTCTGATAAGGAAGAATCCAGTTTCTCAAAGCCTGCATCTCCTGTTATGGAGAACGAAGTTATCGACAATGATAGTTCAGCTAATATCACAATTGAAAAAAATCCTCCTGTGGATGAAGCAAATGAAGAAACAAAAAAGGTTGATGAACAGCCAAAACACGCCGAGGAATCAAAGGACGTCAGCGGGAAGCAAAAAGATGCTGCTGAATACAGTGAAGGCGGTGCAGATTCACTGCCAGTGCCTGTTGAACTATCTGAACAAAATGTTGAACACATTGAGCAAACAGAATCTGCAATGAACTTTGAAGAGAAAATGTCGGAAGAAGAATTGCCTAAAACCTTGGAGTTGGTCGAACCAGATTCCGCAAGTCCTACGAGTGAGATTGACGTTACTGCTGCAGCTTCTTCAATTAATGAAGTTAGTGATTTGCCGGAGAGCATGAATGAGCTTAATTCACAAGAAGAAGATGTTAAGGAGATTTCTACAGCCCAAGAGTTGAATGTATTGACTGATGGACAAGCTGAAAAAGGATCAGATTCTCCAACTTCTGATGAGGTGAGAATTCCCCCAGATTATTCTGAAAGCAGCTTGCCTGACGTGCAATATGAAGATGCAAAGCCTTCAGTGGAGGTACATGAAAATGATGCTATTTCTGAATACGTTGAGGTGGAGCAGCAATCAACTATAGAAAATGAAGTAAAAGAACAACAGCATTCAAGTTCTGGAAGCAACTCATCTGATGTTGAAGAGTCTGCAGCAAAATTGGAGAAGATAAAGAAGGACATGAAAACAATGGAAATTGCATTGCAAGGAGCTGCTAGACAAGCTCAGGTACTTATCATAATTAAGTTTTGTTTTGAATCATGTGTATCCTTGTTGAAACAAGCTTTTGAAACATGTAGCATGGTGTTATAAGCTTTGAGAAAAGAATTCGTGGAACATTTTCCAGGTTACAAATAGTTGCATAACCAGGTATTGATAGTGGTGGCAATGGGTTGAGCCGGCTTATCTTTCTTGGCCTTTGAGCTCGTGGCTTGTGGGCCGGGCTGAGCTTGGCTGAGGAGCCTTTTTTAAGCCTTCCTATTATGTGGGCTGACCAGCTACTTATTTTCGAGTAGATGGAGTTAAAACTGTACACAAACAACTCGTTAAAATATTTTTATTTTTATTTATTTTATTTTTTTAAATTTGAACATTCGAAAACGAAGAACCTATCTCAAGTTTTCCAAGTATCGACAATGACAATACCTGGAAACTTGAGATGGGTTTTTCGTTTTTCAATTTTCGATTTTGGATGATTGAGTCAAGATTTTTTGTCGTGCAAGTCTTTTTCTTAATACGTATGTGTTCACCTGCTTCATTTTCCATGCAATCAATTTCGATGTTTTGCAATTGAGATTTGAAAATTTGAAATTAGATTTGAAAACTTTTATCTGGGCTTGAAACTGACTACTTTCGAGTAGGTGGAATTAAAATTGTACACGAACGTTACGTGTACAATTTTTTTTTTCAAATCAAACTATTATTAAGAAAATAACAAAGTTTGATTAAATTATTTATCTTACAACATGCAATTTCGGCGTGCTTCTGTTGTATTAAAAAATGAGTATTTTATCAAAGTCTAAGTATCGTCAATGAAGTGTTTTGCCATACCTAAACACATGAAGTCATAGTGGGTACAACAACTATTTAAGTATGTTAACATGTCAATTGAAAGAGCAATCATTCAATTCATATGATTCAAAGTTACGTTTAGTTATTCATTTCGCTTCCTCAAAAAAACTTCAAGAAATCATTTTTCTTATAAGTTTTTGAAGAAGCAAAATCAATAACTAAATGTACTTTTGAATCATATGGGTTGAATGATTTCTCTTTCAGTTGACGTGTTAACGCACTTAAATAGCTATGGTTCCTACTATGACTTCATGTGTTTGACAGAACACTTCATTGACAATGCTTAGAAAATTTGAGGAATGGATTGTGATTTGTGTATGTAATTGTGGAGAGTGGAATAATTGTAGAATTAAATGAGTAAATTATTATGGAGCGAGCAATGAAGGAATAAAGAATTATAGAACTTAGAATGGTAGAGAGTATAGAAGAAAGATTGTAGAACTTATTGTGAGAAAAATGATTTAGAATGAGAGGTATTAATAGATGAAAATAAAAAATAATTCAGAGACCAACGGTCTCTTTGAAGTGACTGTCATTTTTTTTTTTTTTTTAATTTATGAAAAAGTAACCAAACGGTCACTATATTATGGCGAGCTGTGAGCCAAGGCCGCCCATGGGCTGAGCTTTTCCGAGCCAAGTCGGCGAGCCAACGAGCTATTGGGCTCAATTGCCACCACTAGGTTTTGACTATTAGGTAGTTTTGCAGACTTAATTGATTGCTTGATATATTGTTACCCATTTGTTTAGGTCCCTATTCACCCTGTTGGTACCAAATTAGTGAAATTTGCATAAATCTAAAAAATGTTCCTTATTTGTAAGTGGTACGTTTATGTCAGTTCATGTGGTCAGTACAAACAGATTTTTAATGTTGGTTGGTAATTGTTAGAAAAGTGTTTCACCTGTAGCACCTTAGATGCATGTAAATGGAAGTTAGAAATTAGAATTCAACCAGTTATTTGCTCATTGCTTATTTGGTCTTGATTTTTTTTTTTTTTTGTTGATCACGTAGGATGATTCAGTGTGCAAAGTCTAAAATTTAGTGAAAAATGGAATTTTTTTTGTTAGAAATGTCGAAACAACAGTATTTGCCAATGATGATATATATTCTCCTTTTGTTCATTATCAAATCAACTAGACTTGAAGCACAAAAAAATTTTACAGTTGAAAATGGAAAACTGATGATAGTACGACTGTGATTGAACAAGTTAATTATATTACTCATTGCCAGAATTGTTACAGGGATAACTTTTTAATTTTTAATTTTTTTTGTCATGGGTTAATTATTTACCATTGACGCCTTGTACCCTCCATCAAGGTGAGAAATGCACTCATCAATGATTCTTCTTAATTTATCTGTATTTACTGTTGATGTATTAAATTAATCTTGAAATCTGTATGCGTTTTGTGGGGACACTGTCCTTTGTAATAATAACACATCTTTCTTAGTATGTATGTGAATGAAAGATTTGATCTCTTTTAATTACCAATAAAAGAAAAGAGAATCTGACTTCTTTTTTCTTCCTCCTAGGCCAAAGCTGATGAAATTGCAAAATTGATGAATGAAAACGAGCAGCTAAAGGCCGTGATTGAAGATTTGAGGAAAGTAAGTTACTCTATCCTTTAATTGATTTTTTGTCATGTTAATACATTTTCTTGGAAAAGATTTACCTCATAATACGTGCCAGCCACATGCAAATATTTGCAGAATGGTTAATATAAGATAATTTGATCATTCTGATTTTTCAAACATTCGTTTAGAACAAAGTTCTGTGTTAGAACTTAAGGAATGCAAATCACACATTCTTCTATTTTAATTGCATACCAATGATTCTCTGTAAGGCGAGTTGCAAGGTGGGCTTACTTATACATTGGGAATACCTCAGTCATCGATGCTTATGTCAAGACTGAAATTCTTTCTATGGTTGCCTATGCATGAATTATGATGTCTGAACTTTGATGTTTTTACTGTTAACAATGATAGAATTGTCTTAAATTGTTGCATTGGATAACAGGAGGGATGCCAATAATTTATATGCTTACGTCTGGGAAATGAGTATTCTCTCTTCTGCCAATGAAGGATGTAATTAAATTGTTCAGATTAATCATTGTGGACTGATGTAGCAAGTGCAGAGCATTTCCTTTATACCTATAAGATGCATAGACATCAATACAATCCTTATTTGAACTTTTTTTTTCTCAGCTGACTATAATTCTCCTGGACACATTATTTTTGCATGTGTATAGTGAAGGTTTTCAAAGCGTATTTTCCGATCTTTCATGATCGTGGATGTTATGGGTAGTCAATTGGGCTGGAGAACATCTGATACTATTGTGCAAGGCCAAGTACTGAATAATAAAACTTGTTGGAGAATGAGGTTCAGTGTCAAACTGTACAGATTTATTAAAATATGTTATCGGATTCAATCATTTAGAAAACACAAAGTGGACATTTATTTAATCTATACCTGATGGCTTTGTGGCAAGAGACGGGAAATAGTTATGGTCATTCTTCAATTCAGTATTAATATGTTACTCTAGTTCATTAATTTTGACAAAAAGTTACGTATGAATGCTTAATGATATAAATATAAACAAGCAAGTGGAAAGGGGGAAAAACTTGGACTGTCTCTGAACTAAGGTCCTCAACTGTATTTAAACAAGAAAGCAGGTTGGATTATGGAGAAATTTGAAGTATCTTTGCGTATACTAGAGTGTACACCCCTCTCACATGAGAGGGGACCCACATTAATTAAAAAATTCGTGAGTCCTTTCGCATGTGAGGGAAATGTGCACTAGAGTATAAAACTGTAGTGTACATGTAGTATCCTTCTAAAAATTATTAAAATAATAAAACCTCAAAAGAATGTTTTAGTTTTTTCAAATTCAAACACTCATTCCTTATTTATTTGAGAAACTAATTGAGAGAGAAAACAAAAGTCCATTTGAATAGAAAAATCCCCATAATTCAACCAAAATGGATAAATCTTATAATATAAGGCCTGTTTGGGAGTGATTTTTTTCTCAAAAAATTAATTTTTTGATTGTTATTTCACTATTCTGACCATCATATTTGACTTCTTCTCTCACAGGTGGCTCCTAACGATCAAAAAATCAATTCTCAAAATCACTCACAAATAGGCTCTATATAACTAGGTAGTGAACGGTGAAAATTATCTCGTGGTTTTGACATGATATGGGTAGTGAATGATGGAATTATTTTGTGATTTTGTTGTGAAGTGGGTAGTGAATGGTGGAAAATTATAAGATGGTGTGTAGTACTTTTCCTATGTTGTGAAAAATAATTATTGATTTTGATCTTTTTGGTCGATTATTGGGTTTTATACACACACTCATTTGTTGATTTATCTCTCAGTGCGTGTTTGAAACAAACGAGCCTTAAGCAAGTGTTCAAATTTGAAGCGATTGAAATAATCTTTGAATTATCATTGATTTTGATCGTTTTTAAAACGTAAACTAATGGATGTAGGTGACGACGCATATTTTGCAACACTTGGATGATTATTTATTTAACTTTTGGATGGGTGGGGGATTTTACATCAAAATGAAATGTCAGCCAGGATTCCACAAAATAAGTTAACATTAGGGATATTGTGCCAAGAATAATACTACTTTGATAGAAAAATACGGCCAAATGCAATGACAAAGATGTTGTGACGGGAGTTGATTGGATGGGATAGCTAACTGTTTAAAATAGTCTAATGATGAAATATCATGTGACATTATGTTAACCATTATATCAAAGTTTCTATTTCTGTGTTGTGCCATTTATCATTCATTAATGAAAGACTAGAACTAAGAATGTAACGATAAAAAGTTATGACATGTATGTTATAACGAATTAACGCTACAAACCATTTATAGAATTAAAATGTAGGGCAATTAAAAAAATGAACATAATTGTCGATATCAAAGTGTCCTAAAATTATAAAGTCTCTGTTTGGTAGAGATTTTAATTTATATGAAATTAATAATTAATTTTAGTCATATATTTTTTGAATTTATAATTTTTTAATTACATATTTCATCAATTTTTATCAAAAATTATTTAATATTTGATTTTAATTCCCTTCAAACAGGGAAAAAGTATAGATGTAATTTATTTACATTTTCTTATTTTCCGAAAGGTAACTTTATGCGGAAACTCTACCGCCGTTTTCTTCAACGGTTAAAATGAATAATTTATTTATTTATTTTTATTAGGAGTAAAAATGGTGGATAAAGTTGAAAGTAAACACGAATCACGTGTGCAGGAAATTGAAACAAACAAATGAAACGGCGTCGTACACATCCTTTCCATTACGAATAAATTTTTAAAGCTTGCCCGGTGCATAGGGAAATTCACATCGGACCTGTCCAAATGGGAGAACGGCTAAACTCCATATAGGATCAGATTGATCTCTTGTAAGTTTTTGGTCTCCTGACCAACAATCTCATTCCGTTCGATCGGAGCTCCGATTTGATCTTTCCTAATTACGATTCGCTTTCACAAATCCCCAGGTTCTATTTTCAGAATCACGTACGAGTCGCACTAGCATCATTTCCAATTGCAACAAAATATGACACGGTTGATTTATTTTTTAGACGATGCATACTCGATTTCTATAGTGGTTGGATCTTACTGATGGTGTTCTATTTCATTTTTATTGATAATTTAGCTGAATATGTGATCTGTTATGATGTGGGAATGCTGATGGATTTTTGCGAATGTTGCGTTTTGTAGGTTTTGGATAAATGCGAGTGACGTGATATACAAGTACTGCATCGAGCTGATTGATTAAAAAATATGGCTTGGTTTAGTGGGAAAGTCTCTTTAGGGAATTTCCCTGATCTTGCTGGGGCTGTGAATAAACTCAGCGAGAGCGTCAAGAATATTGAGAAGAATTTTGATACGGCACTTGGTCTAGAAGAGAAATCCGAACCTACCAGTAGTACAGATGAAGGTAAATGTTATGTTCACTGCATTTCGATTTTTTTTGTGAATTTTCAACCATTATAATAAGCGTTTTTTGTGTATATTCCTTCTGATCCATAAGCGGGATGGAATTAGAAATCCAATACCTTTAAAACTTGGAAATTATCAGACCATTGAAATTTGCTGCTAGTTCATATTAAGGATGTTTTATATAGTTCATCTTATTCTATTTTTACCAAAGATATTGTTCGAGGTTTAAAGTGCTCCCTTTTGTGGATTTGAACCTCCTTTATTACATGATTAACTAGCTGATTTACAAAATTTTATTCCAAGGAAATGTATATATAAAATTTCTCACTTGGTCAAAAACTTCCAGTGTAAAGGATGTTAAAGTAATTGATGAATGAAGGTTAATAAGATGTTCATAGATTATGGTCTACTTCCAAATGTTAATGTTAGGATTGTGGCCATCAGCTACAGACAGGAAAGCACTGTTCGAGCCAATCATGGGTTTTATGGGGAATAAAGGCGGGAACAGTATTGTTGAATCATTGACAGAGTCTAGTTCCTCCAAGCCTGCATCTCCTCTTAAGGAAGAAGAATCTAGTTCCTCAAAGCCTGCATCTTCTGATAAGGAAGAATCCAGTTTCTCAAAGCCTGCATCTCCTGTTATGGAGAACGAAGTTATCGACAATGATAGTTCAGCTAATATCACAATTGAAAAAAATCCTCCTGTGGATGAAGCAAATGAAGAAACAAAAAAGGTTGATGAACAGCCAAAACACGCCGAGGAATCAAAGGACGTCAGCGGGAAGCAAAAAGATGCTGCTGAATACAGTGAAGGCGGTGCAGATTCACTGCCAGTGCCTGTTGAACTATCTGAACAAAATGTTGAACACATTGAGCAAACAGAATCTGCAATGAACTTTGAAGAGAAAATGTCGGAAGAAGAATTGCCTAAAACCTTGGAGTTGGTTGAACCAGATTCCGCAAGTCCTACGAGTGAGATTGACGTTACTGCTGCAGCTTCTTCAATTAATGAAGTTAGTGATTTGCCGGAGAGCATGAATGAGCTTAATTCACAAGAAGAAGATGTTAAGGAGATTTCTACAGCCCAAGAGTTGAATGTATTGACTGATGGACAAGCTGAAAAAGGATCAGATTCTCCAACTTCTGATGAGGTGAGAATTCCCCCAGATTATTCTGAAAGCAGCTTGCCTGACGTGCAATATGAAGATGCAAAGCCTTCAGTGGAGGTACATGAAAATGATGCTATTTCTGAATACGTTGAGGTGGAGCAGCAATCAACTATAGAAAATGAAGTAAAAGAACAACAGCATTCAAGTTCTGGAAGCAACTCATCTGATGTTGAAGAGTCTGCAGCAAAATTGGAGAAGATAAAGAAGGACATGAAAACAATGGAAATTGCATTGCAAGGAGCTGCTAGACAAGCTCAGGTACTTATCATAATTAAGTTTTGTTTTGAATCATGTGTATCCTTGTTGAAACAAGCTTTTGAAACATGTAGCATGGTGTTATAAGCTTTGAGAAAAGAATTCGTGGAACATTTTCCAGGTTACAAATAGTTGCATAACCAGGTATTGATAGTGGTGGCAATGGGTTGAGCCGGCTTATCTTTCTTGGCCTTTGAGCTCGTGGCTTGTGGGCCGGGCTGAGCTTGGCTGAGGAGCCTTTTTTAAGCCTTCCTATTATGTGGGCTGACCAGCTACTTATTTTCGAGTAGATGGAGTTAAAACTGTACACAAACAACTCGTTAAAATATTTTTATTTTTATTTATTTTATTTTTTTAAATTTGAACATTCGAAAACGAAGAACCTATCTCAAGTTTTCCAAGTATCGACAATGACAATACCTGGAAACTTGAGATGGGTTTTTCGTTTTTCAATTTTCGATTTTGGATGATTGAGTCAAGATTTTTTGTCGTGCAAGTCTTTTTCTTAATACGTATGTGTTCACCTGCTTCATTTTCCATGCAATCAATTTCGATGTTTTGCAATTGAGATTTGAAAATTTGAAATTAGATTTGAAAACTTTTATCTGGGCTTGAAACTGACTACTTTCGAGTAGGTGGAATTAAAATTGTACACGAACGTTACGTGTACAATTTTTTTTTTCAAATCAAACTATTATTAAGAAAATAACAAAGTTTGATTAAATTATTTATCTTACAACATGCAATTTCGGCGTGCTTCTGTTGTATTAAAAAATGAGTATTTTATCAAGGTCTAAGTATCGTCAATGAAGTGTTTTGCCATACCTAAACACATGAAGTCATAGTGGGTACAACAACTATTTAAGTATGTTAACATGTCAATTGAAAGAGCAATCATTCAATTCATATGATTCAAAGTTACGTTTAGTTATTCATTTCGCTTCCTCAAAAAAACTTCAAGAAATCATTTTTCTTATAAGTTTTTGAAGAAGCAAAATCAATAACTAAATGTACTTTTGAATCATATGGGTTGAATGATTTCTCTTTCAGTTGACGTGTTAACGCACTTAAATAGCTATGGTTCCTACTATGACTTCATGTGTTTGACAGAACACTTCATTGACAATGCTTAGAAAATTTGAGGAATGGATTGTGATTTGTGTATGTAATTGTGGAGAGTGGAATAATTGTAGAATTAAATGAGTAAATTATTATGGAGCGAGCAATGAAGGAATAAAGAATTATAGAACTTAGAATGGTAGAGAGTATAGAAGAAAGATTGTAGAACTTATTGTGAGAAAAATGATTTAGAATGAGAGGTATTAATAGATGAAAATAAAAAATAATTCAGAGACCAACGGTCTCTTTGAAGTGACTGTCATTTTTTTTTTTTTTTTAATTTATGAAAAAGTAACCAAACGGTCACTATATTATGGCGAGCTGTGAGCCAAGGCCGCCCATGGGCTGAGCTTTTCCGAGCCAAGTCGGCGAGCCAACGAGCTATTGGGCTCAATTGCCACCACTAGGTTTTGACTATTAGGTAGTTTTGCAGACTTAATTGATTGCTTGATATATTGTTACCCATTTGTTTAGGTCCCTATTCACCCTGTTGGTACCAAATTAGTGAAATTTGCATAAATCTAAAAAATGTTCCTTATTTGTAAGTGGTACGTTTATGTCAGTTCATGTGGTCAGTACAAACAGATTTTTAATGTTGGTTGGTAATTGTTAGAAAAGTGTTTCACCTGTAGCACCTTAGATGCATGTAAATGGAAGTTAGAAATTAGAATTCAACCAGTTATTTGCTCATTGCTTATTTGGTCTTGATTTTTTTTTTTGTTGATCACGTAGGATGATTCAGTGTGCAAAGTCTAAAATTTAGTGAAAAATGGAATTTTTTTTGTTAGAAATGTCGAAACAACAGTATTTGCCAATGATGATATATATTCTCCTTTTGTTCATTATCAAATCAACTAGACTTGAAGCACAAAAAAATTTTACAGTTGAAAATGGAAAACTGATGATAGTACGACTGTGATTGAACAAGTTAATTATATTACTCATTGCCAGAATTGTTACAGGGATAACTTTTTAATTTTTAATTTTTTTTGTCATGGGTTAATTATTTACCATTGACGCCTTGTACCCTCCATCAAGGTGAGAAATGCACTCATCAATGATTCTTCTTAATTTATCTGTATTTACTGTTGATGTATTAAATTAATCTTGAAATCTGTATGCGTTTTGTGGGGACACTGTCCTTTGTAATAATAACACATCTTTCTTAGTATGTATGTGAATGAAAGATTTGATCTCTTTTAATTACCAATAAAAGAAAAGAGAATCTGACTTCTTTTTTCTTCCTCCTAGGCCAAAGCTGATGAAATTGCAAAATTGATGAATGAAAACGAGCAGCTAAAGGCCGTGATTGAAGATTTGAGGAAAGTAAGTTACTCTATCCTTTAATTGATTTTTTGTCATGTTAATACATTTTCTTGGAAAAGATTTACCTCATAATACGTGCCAGCCACATGCAAATATTTGCAGAATGGTTAATATAAGATAATTTGATCATTCTGATTTTTCAAACATTCGTTTAGAACAAAGTTCTGTGTTAGAACTTAAGGAATGCAAATCACACATTCTTCTATTTTAATTGCATACCAATGATTCTCTGTAAGGCGAGTTGCAAGGTGGGCTTACTTATACATTGGGAATACCTCAGTCATCGATGCTTATGTCAAGACTGAAATTCTTTCTATGGTTGCCTATGCATGAATTATGATGTCTGAACTTTGATGTTTTTACTGTTAACAATGATAGAATTGTCTTAAATTGTTGCATTGGATAACAGGAGGGATGCCAATAATTTATATGCTTACGTCTGGGAAATGAGTATTCTCTCTTCTGCCAATGAAGGATGTAATTAAATTGTTCAGATTAATCATTGTGGACTGATGTAGCAAGTGCAGAGCATTTCCTTTATACCTATAAGATGCATAGACATCAATACAATCCTTATTTGAACTTTTTTTTTCTCAGCTGACTATAATTCTCCTGGACACATTATTTTTGCATGTGTATAGTGAAGGTTTTCAAAGCGTATTTTCCGATCTTTCATGATCGTGGATGTTATGGGTAGTCAATTGGGCTGGAGAACATCTGATACTATTGTGCAAGGCCAAGTACTGAATAATAAAACTTGTTGGAGAATGAGGTTCAGTGTCAAACTGTACAGATTTATTAAAATATGTTATCGGATTCAATCATTTAGAAAACACAAAGTGGACATTTATTTAATCTATACCTGATGGCTTTGTGGCAAGAGACGGGAAATAGTTATGGTCATTCTTCAATTCAGTATTAATATGTTACTCTAGTTCATTAATTTTGACAAAAAGTTACGTATGAATGCTTAATGATATAAATATAAACAAGCAAGTGGAAAGGGGGAAAAACTTGGACTGTCTCTGAACTAAGGTCCTCAACTGTATTTAAACAAGAAAGCAGGTTGGATTATGGAGAAATTTGAAGTATCTTTGCATGAAGTAAATAAATGCATTTGGCGATATTCATGTAAGAAGAGAATAAGAAAATGAATGACGTGGTGTACTCACTGTACTGGCAGTGCAACTCAATTTGGGAACTTATCTTATTGATTCTTTCTCCCTTCCATGAGAAATTTTCTGCTCATATATCTTTTTTGCAATGTTAATTGTTTACCTCGATTATTATTTACTTACAGATACAAATATTCAGATATAAGGATATTTAATCTCTTTTGACTTGAGGAAAATAAAATTTTTCAGATAAAATCAAATGAAGCAGAAATTGAATCTCTCCGGGAGGATTATCATCAAAGGGTGGCAACGCTTGAAAGAAAGGTATAGAATATTCATTGTCTATGGTCTCTATTTCTTCCGTCAAGTTTCACTATGATAATGCAAGGAAAATTGAAGATTATAAATAATTTTATAGTGCCAAGGCAGACATCTTGAAATTTTTGATGTAGCAAAAATTTGAATGTTATGTTACTTACAATATTAGATAATTTGAGGTGCTTCTTTTTTTTTTTTTTTTGGCTTCAGATTGCTTGATTGAAGTGGCAATTTTCATTTTTTAACATCTCATTTGCAAGTTACTTGATTTTCCAATCGAATTGCTAAATCTTGAAATCTTCCTCAGTGGGATATCAATTCTCGTACTTCACCAGTTAATTATTCTCGAGAACCAACATAGTGATGAGCATTCGTATACATTGTATGCACGTTAAGTTTTTTGGTAGTGCTAATTATCTCGAGTTCTCATTTTAGCTATACTGGCAACTAAAGACTTCATTATCAATTAGTCATATAGAAACTGCAGTTTCTGACACATATTGGACTAGTTGATTTCAGCATCTTCGAATAATTGGATGATATATAGTCACTTTGCACAAACTCTACTTCCTACTTTACGTGACTGCATATTTAACCGAGTCACCCAGTTATGTTTATCTTTCCATCTATTTGTTTTTCATAAAAAGGTTATTGTGAAATCTACTATGATGAATCTTTAGTTTATCTATTAGCATGTTATGTTAGTTGACATATGGATTATTTAACTTTCCATATTTCATATGCATGCTTCTAAGTTTCCTGAAGTACCATGCCAATTTTATCTTTGGTTATTTATTCATCTAGTTGAAATCAATTTGAGCAACTGATGTGCATTTTATCAGGTTTATGCTCTCGCTAAGGAAAGGGATGCACTGCGCAGAGAGCAGAGTAAGAAAATTGATGCTGCAGCTCTTTTGAAGGAAAAAGATGAAATAATCACTCAGGTTATGGCTGAAGGTGTGAACTTCTAAGTAATTAGTAGAAGATTGAATTCAATTTAATACTTATCATTGGTTAGTTTTTCTCTGGCATAAAGGATTTCCTTGTTTACAAGAAGTATAAGTTGCTTTATATTGACAGGCAATGTATGACCGTTGTAGATTCCATGATAAAAATGAATAGCACGTTAGCATCTTGAGGGAGGATTAGTGATGGATTTCTCACTTTACTATAGGTTCATTCATTGCCTGTGTGGAGTAGATTGAGAAAGGTTTTGCTTAATTAAAATGAAATCTGAATAGATCCTTCCAATCTAGGATTACTTGGTTTGGTGGATTAGTTACATGCCTAATTTTTTTTTCTTTGATTTCTTATATCCTAAACAATATATCAATTTCAATTACAGATGGAAAAAGCTTGTATAACAACAAATTATTTATTGTTGGTGGCTAAAATCAAAATATGAACAATTCTCCAATGTGACAACTAAAGATTTGCAACATGCCAAAATTTTGAATCCACTCTCTGATTTTTGACCTAAAAAAGAACTTCTAGATAGAAAGTTAGTTACCAATGAAATTTTTGAAATTTCCTTAACACTTTTTACTTTATCATTAGCATCCTGTTTGAAACCACCAAGTGAGTAAATGTTATAACATTTGGCATTTTTAAATGTAGTAATCCCTTTCTAATTCGTTTTCACCTATGGTTGTTATATACATGGTTTCTAATGTTGTGTCACTCAAGGAATACTTGTATATGAGTTAAAACATTTACATGAGATCTTTTTGTAACTGTATACACACCTAGTTGTTCGTATGGGTGCTCTTACACTTGTGTTTATGTACAATCTTTTTTGGGCTATAACTGGGATTCAAATTTGCAATTTTATCATTACTTTCCAGGTGAAGAGCTTTCAAAAAAGCAAGCTGCTCAGGAATCTCATATGAGAAAATTAAGGGCACAGGTATGCTTTTTCTGATAACTAGTTCATCTTTGAAAGACACAATGTTGCCGTGGAAACTTTTTTAATTTTTAACACGTGTCTTCCCTCTTATCAATTTTGTCTTTACTTTCTTCTGAAAGCTAGATTAGAGAGCTTGAGGAAGAGAAGAAAGGACTGCTTACCAAACTACAGGTAATTCTCACTCATTTTCTGCATATAGTTTTCATTTGTCTGTAGGTTAATGTATGTCATCTACTTAAAGTTTCTCTATATAGATTAGGCAGCTGATATGTTAAGCTAACTGTCCTTTGTTTTCTGTTATGGACTCTTGTGGGGGGCTGAAGGGAGGCAAAAATGGGATACTTGTTATCTGTTAGTATTGTTTCGGTGCTGGATTTCCTAAGGATTTGAGTGAAATCGCAGCA